CTGTTACTAATACGACTACGATTAATCAAACTAATAAGTTGTAAGTAATATTAACAAAAATTAAATGAAATATTTTCTCACTTGATACTTTTTCTCCTCGTAAGAATGCTTCGTAGGCCGTGTTCGCGTGATCGGCTATGAGTTGATCAAAGATGCATTCCTTACCTCTGTGCTCAATCTTCGGAGATATATGGATGCCCTCTTCTCCCTGAACAACGAAAAAGAAAATAGAGGGAGGAGGGGGGGGGGGGTCAGAAACAGGCACATCAGGAAGGGGGCTGGGGAATCAACTCCTAACAGATTTTGAACATCCCAAAACTCAGGCAACCCTTATATTTGGGCAGAGAGATTGCCCTTTTCTATTTGTTCATTTGTTTTGTGTTGTTGTTGTGTTGTTGTTGTTGTTGTTGTTGTTGTGTGTGTGTGTGTGTGTGTGTGTGTTTTTTGTGTTTTTTTTTTGGGGGGGGGGGGGGTAATTCTCATTTTTGTTAAATCTTTTAAAATTATCTAGTATACCTTACTTACGAACTTAAAGAGAAGGTTGAGTTCTGGGAAGAAGTAAAAAATAATTTGTGAGCGTTGTCATTGTATAAAAAAATATTCCCTGAAAAGCAAGGCTCTTCAAATTTTAAATATGGCATGTAATTACATCTTAACAATCGGGACGAATTTTTATGCCACATGTTCGTGTAGTCCCATAGACATCTTTCTGTGTACAGTGCTTGTAACTTTACCAAGACTGGGCCAAATTTCTTATCATGTTGATGATTCTCGAACATTGCAGAACGCACCAATACTTATATGCTAGATGATCAACCTTTCTGATCGATTCCACAACGTATCTTTCACAATGCAATCGCATGACCAGAACTCAACTTTATCAACAGTACTGTGTCTCTAGATTTGTACACAGTACACGAACAGTGGGTGCCACTGTTTCATTTCCGGAATCACAAACCCTATTTCGTGTTCGGAATTACGAACCATATTTTCCTTTTCGAAAGTATGACCCTCTTTTATTTGCAGAAATAGGAACCTCCTGAATTACGAACCTTTGGAAATAAGAACTTTTTCGGAATTATGAACGTGTGTGAAAACGACATGTAACCTTTAAAAAGTGGCCTCGGTATGAGTGTATCCAAATGTAACGAATGAAGCCATACCATGTATGCCTCGTGGGCTGGGGCGGCGATTTCTTTTCATGACCAGGAGGGGGGGGGGGGGGGGGGGGAGAGAGAAATGCGAGGGAAAATTTGTATTCCGTTGGTATCACCAGTCGCATAATGAGCAAAACGTGGGGTGGGGTTGGGGGAGCAGAAAAAAAATCCGCATCACCACCACTCTTACGTGTTAAAAGCAGGCCCCGCGCGGAACGTTTTTCAAAGTGGGGGAGGGAGAGCTAAAGTTTTTATGATTAAGCGTATCGTAAATTGGCGTGGGTCTAGGGGCAAAGCTCCGGCGGGGGGGGGGTCAAGGGCAGACCCCCAGAAGCTCAGGAGTTTTAGGCATTTAATAACGGTCAGATGAACATAATTTGACACCTTATTTGTAAAACTGGCAGGTCACTAATAATTGGTGTGGGGTCCAGGGGGCTGAGACCCGTAAAGCTTAGGGGTTTAAGGCATTACATTACGGTCAGATGAGTATCCAGGGTGCAGAGCCCCGCAAGCTCAGGGGTTTTAGGCATTTTATTCAGGTCAGATGAGCATATTTTGATACCTCATTTTGTGACACTAGCCGGTTACTTTTCTTTCTTTCTTTCTATTTCTCTTTAAAATACTTTTTCAAAAAAATGGGGGGGGGGGGGGGAGGGGGCTCGAGCCCCGTGAGCACCGCTGTTCCACGTACCCTGACATGTAGGCTTCTAAATAAACATATTTTTTGCCTGACTGTAAATGTTGATATTTTTCATTGTCCAACAAACGAAAAAAAAAACACTATAATTTACAAAAAGGGGAGGAAAAATGACGGAATATCATGTCATTTCAGCATTATTTGTAAATCACTGGTATCGAATTAGAAATAAACCACGTTTGAATTGGGGGGGGGGGAGGAACTGCCCCCCCCCCCCCCCTCCACAACCTCCATCAGTACGCCAGTGGGTATCAAGGTGATACCAACGGAATGCAGATATTCTACAAAACTTACTTGTTCTTCAGTCAGTATTTGCTATACATTTTCTTTTTGCAATTTTTCAAAATTTTCGGGGGGTACGACCCCCTCCCTAAACAAATTGAGGGGGACGTGTCCCCCACCGTCCCCCGGGATCGCCGCCCCTACTCGTGGGTGAATAATTAACCTCAATGAAGTGAAAAGTATGAGCGGGTTATGTCTGTTAGGATAAATTTGTTGAATGGAACATTTCTCCTCTCTCTCTCTCTCTCTCTCCCTCTCTGGCTCTGTCCTCCCCTCTCGCTCTCTCCCCCTCTCTCTCTCTCTCTCTCTCTCTCTCTCTCTCTCTCTTCTCTCTCTTTCTCTCTCTCTCTCCCTCTCTCTCTCTCTATATATATATATATATATATCTCTCTCACACACACACACACACACACACACTCTCTCTCGCTTTGTCTCTCTCTCTCTCTCTCTCTCTCTCTCTCTCTCTCTCTCACACACACACACACACTCTCGTTGCTTTATTACTGCAACATAATGCTATCATATTCCAAGCGATATTGAAGAAATATTGGACAAAAACGAAATATACTGCAGTTTTCTCCGATTCCAGGATCCATAGTTTACTCTCTTTAAAAAAAAGAGTGAATTTTCAAAATCACGGACGTCACTCCTCTCTGGAGAGTGAAAATGGAGTGAAATAGAGTGAACATTCACTCTTTTTTCTTAGAAAGCATTCTAAAATCAATCGATTTTCACTCCTAAACAAGTGATCACGGACGTCACTCCCAAGAAAGTGAAAATAGAGTGAAAATTCACTCTCTTTTTTTAAGAGAGTACATCATACGCAAACTGTGATTAAGGAGTGACTTTGAAATAGAGAAAATGAAAGGCATACCAAGACACAGATTTGAGAATGATAATGCAGTATATTCGACTGCATAAATGAACAGTTATGAAGTAAATTCTGAAATAATTGGAAATCCCGCTCATCATCTTAATTTATATCAATAACTCATCATTATTGTCCTCGATCCTCCTGCTCGCATAGCTCTCCCCCCCTCCTCCCCTCCTCTTAGCTCCCCCCCCCTTCCACCCCCTCCTCCTCCTCCTCTCCCCTCATTCCCAGATGCATGTATCTGATGCGGAGGCCTTTTGTTGCTGTCAGTCCCGACCCCATGCACAATTCCTTTACGTTATCCCTGGCTCGATGAAGCAAAGGCAAAGTTAAACAGCTAGTTCATAAGGTCACGAAACGTCAAGTTGACCCAGTTAGTTTTTACAAATACCCATGATATTTGTATGACCTGCTTCGAAGGGACTCCATTACTCTTATAGTGGTTTGTATGTAAGATGTTATCGAGAGTAATAGGCCATTTTCGTAATGTAACACACGTTTAAGCATACGTATTCATGAAGCGCCTCGATACAAATGGTTTCATTCACCTGTTACGAATATTTGTACCTCAATAGTCAGATTACGAATTGCATACAGCATTTGTGATAGATAGACAAACATATACTGGCTTGCCATATCCAATAACACATAGTTTATGCAGATTGCATTCTGACTATTGAAATACACTTTCTCGAAACAGGTAAATTAAATAAATAGGGTTCATATAGGCACTTCACAAAAACATATGCATTTAATTTGGTTACGTTATAAAAATTGCCTATTTCTCGCAATGGCGATATATAGAGTATATGCATGAGCTCTTCGATGAAGTTTAAAAACATAATGAATAGTACAGTGTATGCATACCTCAAGAACGATTGATTGTCTGTCCAGAGGAACAGGTCGAAACAGCGTCGGGTGTGTTGGGTCTGCCATCATGCCTCTCGATCACGGATTCGAATCTTTCTTGTACATGTAATGGTTACAATCCAGAGAAACAACACCTGACGTATACCTGGTTCCAATGTATTCCAGTAGTCCATCAACACGTACACGGAATTTTGTTTCTTTTTTTCCTTCTAGAATGGGTTAACAGACCTAGAGCGATGTTCATGCTTCGGTGGAATCGAACACTAGATCGGTAGTGTACAGATTAATATACCCCATGCAGAATGTGAATGAATCATAATGCCTTTGCTGATCTATTTGAAGTACTTGTATTTGTTTCCTACAATATTTCGCACACAAAACAGTGACGTATACAGACGAGACCTTGACCTGGAGGGGCGGGGCCTATGCCACCAGATGTTACGAGTTCTGCAAGGTGGGAGAGGGTATCCCCCCCCCCCCCGGCCCCAACACAAATGCTAAAATAGAACTTTCGGGCAGCATTTCTAGGATGTGTCTATGTTTCGTTCGCTTCCAAGAGCATTCTTACCACTATGACAACTTCGAAATGATCAATTTGCCACTCCTTCAAATACATTATACTACAGGGATTAATTTAAACATCTGAAATGCATTGTCTCCCGGAATCATCATTGTACGTACAAGAAGCCAATAATGTTGCAGTTTATAAAACAGTTAACTAAGTTTTTCTCATTTTAAAGATAATAAAGAGTCCGTTTTTCCTTGCTCGCTTCGCGCATTCGCAAAATTGTAAGAACTGCATGATTTCACGCAGCGAGTTACTTGATTACCCCCCCCCCCCCCCCCCCCCCCCTCCCCCCCCCGGTCATTTGAGCAGCAAGGTGTAGAAGTCCTCCCCCTCCCCCCCCCCCCCCCCCACCCCCTTCTCCCACCTTTTTTGTGTGTGCTCACTCGCAAAATGTATAAACAAGATGGTTTGATATTTGGGCAGGACGCGTCGCGCGAAAATGTTTTTTGACGTAAATACAGAGATAACCGGCCCAAGCCGCTCTCAAATTAGGCCCTTCCTAATTGTGTGTTGGCGCCCCCTTCCCTTTTGATCAAGACGCATCTGCGCAGAATCTAGTATTCTTTATTTCTTCTTGATATCTCGGTCTCTTCTTCTCCCCCTCCTCCTTCTCCTCCATTTTTTCATCTTTCTCTCCTTCTCCTTCTTCCGTTCTTCTCCTTATTAATTTTTTCTCCTCTTCTTCCTCCTTTTTATTTCTTCTTCTTCTTCGTGTTATTATTATCATGAATATCATATTCCCATTAAGGGTACAATAATGGTATTTGAATGGCTAAAATTTGAACAAAGCAGAAAAAGACATCGGAAACCAAGTATCTATGTTTTTGTTTCATTTACTTAAATAGCAGATAATGTACAAGATGAGGCATAATTTGATTAAAATCGTACACGACACAAGATCATAGAATGTTGAACTGCTGGAGAGGAAATTTTTACTCCCTTCGATACAAATGTAAAAAGGTTGGGCTAACCTTGAGGACTGCACATAATATATACATAATAATATAAATAATATTACTACTATACTACTAATTATAATATCAATGATAATAAGTATTAGCGTATTAAATGTATGAAAGATGTGACTCATATTTACAAGACACATGGTACGTTTGAAGTGTACTCTATAACTTGTGATTTGTATTGTTAAAGGGAATGTATCATAACGTGTATATAATCGTGTTAATGACCGTGAAACCAAGGAGATACCAGCATATCTCTTTGGTGAAACTAATATTGGACGATGTCAGAAAGGAGGCTTATATTAGATCAATAAAGAGCGAGTGAGCAAAGCGTAATCATATTGGGAGATGGAGAGACATGCAGAGAGAAGGGGGAATAATAGAGCGAAAGGGACATGTCAATTGAGAGAGGGAAAGAGAAGATCGAGAAAGAGAAATAAAAAGAGAGATAGAGAGAGAGAGTGAGGGAGAGAGAGAGAAAGAGATAAGGGGAGGGGTAAAGGGGTGAGGGGTTGAAGCGAGTTTATAAGTATGTACGCTTCTATGTGACACGATGAAACTGTTACAAGAATATCAAAAACTTAGCCTACAATATTATGACGAATCATTACATTTCTAAACGCTTTATTTGATAATTTTATTCATATTCTACGATATTATGATCTGAAATCAGTCTATCATATCAAAAGCAAATAATTATCGTACTTTGCAGAAAAGTTGCATATTTTGTAGAGTTGTAGAGGTGTCGTGGTCGAGGGGATATGCCACCGAACTGTAGATCACAAGGTCCGCAGATCGAGTCTCGCCGCGCCACCGATGTCCTTTGGCAAGACATTAAACTACACTTGCAACACTCAACCCATGTGAGGTACATGTATATGAGTACCTGGTAGGATTATTCCTTGAAATGCACTGTGCGCTGATTACGGCTACCGGAGCTAAAACTAAGGTAATAATTTATGTTATTTCATAACGTATTATACGCTATACAAGAACTGAATATTATTATTATTATTTTAGATGCTCATCGCTCCGATGATAAATATTGGTGACATTACGGTGAGATTCGTTGGTGTGAGTAGACAAAAGAGGGCGCTGTTTGTTTTGTGAAGCTTGTCATCATTCACTTTTAATCGAAAAGTTATATTCTGCTCTTGATATCCATCATACACTAGTGGTTCTGTATAGAGGAATCGTGAATCCATTTATTGTTTTTAAAAAATCATTACACAAAATCAAAATAGAAGTACGATATCAAATTAAATGAAGAAAAAAAAAACTAGTCCAAAAGTTATTTTCTGGTCTTGTCGATCATTCGCAAATGTATATGAATGATTTTATGCAACATCTTTCACCAACAAATAAATCTATATAAAAAAGACACTCTATGAAAAATTATTTGTAAAGATGGTCTTTTGAATCGGCATTTAACGCCACGTCATACAAAAAATATTGCACGCATTTCGATGTTCAATATGCCATATACATGTATTCACCTTTTAATTAAGAATTTCCCTGGTGTCATTGTTTAAACCTCGGCATGCGGCTTAGGTGAAATAATAACAACAATTTTGTTATATTAGTCTTGTTCAGAGGGAGAAAAGTTACCCCAGGGTAAAGGTCGTAGTCAAGGTAAATATGGCGGGTATACTAGTGTGGCGGGCCAAGCATGCCACTATCCGTACGACTATCCTAACTATACGACTTTACATCTATCCAGCCGGCCAATCAGAACGCAGAAAACTGTACATCTATACCAGTGGCGGATTCAGGGGGGCACAGGTGGCACGTGCCCCCCCCCCCCCCCCCCCCTCCCCGGTAAAAAAAAGGGGAAGGGGGAAAAGAAAAAAGGAGAAAAGGAGAAGAGGAGAAAGAGGAGGGGGAAAGAAAAAGGAGGGAAAAAGAAAGAAAAGGGAAGAGAGAAGAAGAAAAAAGAGGGAGGAGAGAAAAGTGAAGAGAAGAAAAAGGAGGGGGAAAGGAAGAAAGGGGAAGAGTGAGAGGAGACAAAAGGTGGAAAAGTAAGAAAGGGGTAATAACGGAGAAGAAATAAGGAGTATAATGAGAAGGGGGAAAAAAGAAGGGGGATGATATTATAAGAAGGTGTTTTTTTTACCAGGAAAGGGACGGGGGGTCACACAATTCGTCGCTGTTTTCACAAAGTGACGGTAGTGAAAACAAATTGCATTCACTTTGCGTTACGATTTTCCTCACTACCGTCACTTCGTGAAAACAAGGACGAATTTGTTTTAGTGTGCATAATATGGGGTTCCTCTTGCCAGGCGTGTAGCCCTCCCCCCCCCCCCCCCCCCCCCCCAAAAAAAAGTTAAAGGAGAACGGGAAAAAAAAATGAAAGAGAATTAAAACAACGATAGAAGAGAGGTGCGAGAGCATGAGGAATTGCATTTCGTTTAAAAGAATAATGGATAAAAAACCAGGGGCGTCGATAAAGGGAGGTGTGGGTTGCGACACCCCTCCCACCTGTCAGGATATTGTCGGTAAAATTGCGCTGCTGTCGGGAAAATGAGAAAAGGGGGAGGGGGGAATGAGAGGGAAAGGGAAAGCAAAGAAAAAAGAAAAGAAAGGAAAGAAAGGAAAGAGAAGAGAAGAGAAGAAAGTAAGAGAAAAAAGTAAAAGAGGAAGGAGAGGAAAGAAAGAAAAATACAGAAAAGAAAGAAAAGGAGAAAAGGAAAAAAAGAGAAAAAAGGAAAAAGAAACGGGGGATGAAAGAAAGGAGAGAGAGAGAGAGAGAGAGAGAGAGAGAGAGAGAGAAAGGGGGTAAAAGCCTAAGAGAAGAGGGGTGGGAGTAAGAGAGAGAGTATCCTCGCTTATTCTTTCAAAAGAAGGATAATCTTACTCATATTGTCTTAGTCCCTATTTTCCTCTCCGTCTCTCTTTCTCTTCATTCATATATCTCTCCGTCATTTTTATTACAACTCTTCAATTGGACTTAAAATTTGCTCACAAATACTTGTTGAATGTTCGTTTACTTGTAGCTAAATTAAATTGCTTACGTCATGGTTAAGACCAGAACCACACAGATTGTGTTGGATTTGTAGAGTCGGTAGAAAATACACCCATGACTAAAATTTATGATTATAGTTTACGGACGGTCTATATATTAATATATATATATATATTTCCTGTCAATAGAATAACGACCAAAGAGACTAGAAATAAAAACAGCAGAAACATTTACTACGAGTTAGATTTATTGTTGATGAAAAACAACAGAAATGTGTATGTACTTAAACTACGAGTTCAATTTAAATTTCTTTAAAACAACAGAGTGTGACATTAACGATTTTTTAGCAGGAAGACAAAAATTGTACATCTTATCCAAAATTACAAAAGAGGTTACATAGTTTAGTTCGATTACTCTAGAATTCTTCCATAATTTGTCTACATAGTTGGTTACATATTCCAAATCTGATGAATTAACAATGTTGCTTATCACAAGAAATGATGTTTCTGATCATCGTTCATCCGATAGGTGTCATATTAATTGCGCCCTTCTACTTTTGCCTTTGTCATCAATGATTCATTTATATGATCTCTTTTACCCCTCTTTTACCTCGTTACGCACTATAGTCAGTAAAACTGATTTGAATGAAACACAATTGCATTCTTAGAATACACGATCGTTCATTTTACTTCAGAGTATTTCTTAATTAAAAATTAAACAATTATAATACAACGCAGTAATATTGCGTCAGCTATCTAATAAAATACAAGAAAGAACACATATAACAGACTATAGAAAATACAAATGTGTAGGCAAATACATTAATGTACTGTATGCTTTAAGAATAGATTTCCTTCTCACATATGCCCTAATTTCTCAAATATCACAGACTCATCCATTCTTAGTATTCAACATAAAAAATGTCGTCCCAATTGCACCCTATTGTCACGAATCTGATGTTAATAACTCAAGTAAGGTCATGTTAACATCCATAGTAATTTCGTGTCTCGTCTTAGTCATTTTAATCTTTTGGTCCAGAATGATCTGAAATATTAGTGCAAAAATACCTGGGAAATTTGAGTCCCTTCCTGTTGCCATATATTGTGACGTTCAGATATTTAATCGAAAGTAATCATTATGATCACTGAAGTCTCTAAATTGGCAACGCAGGTTGAAATTTGCCATTTTCTTTCCGTCCAAAATGTCAATCTCCCGTTTATTTATTTCATTAAACATGTTCATTCACAAAGTTAACTTAACAAGTTTTTTTTTTTTTCAACTTCAAAAGTGTACAAAATATACAAATAAATGTTACTACATTCAGGAGGAAAAGCTGATTCATTTAGACCGTTTGAAAACTGAGAGCTTATGAAATATGCGTATGATGAATACTTTTACATTAAGTGCATTGAAACCGATATATTTACTACAGTACTAAATAAAATACAGTAATCATAAAAGAAAAATAATGATATATTTCAATTAAATCCGATTATACATAGACATATTGATTTTTTTTTTCTTTTTCTTTAATTTTTTGATTTTTTTTTTTTTACTTACACCTGCACAACAAGAACAAAAAGTTAAATTATGGAATAACAGGATATGTGAAAGTCTCCACATATACACACACAATCAGTGCGTTTATCATCGCCTTGAAGCAGCACTTACACTGGAAGAAGAAGAAGAATTGTAAGAAGTGGAATTCAGTCAACTTTTATCATAGAGGGGATAGCACGTATGCAACTATCGGAATATGCATGTATATATAAATATATTTTTTATGTGGACGTCTTCCAATCCTAATAACTATCATATACACTTTCCACATACCAGAATCTTGCAACACGATTGGTCAAATTGACGCCACATGATACATGTAGATTTTGTATCCTAATGGGGGAAAGGTACAATGTATTCAGCATGGGGGGGGGGGTTCAAATAATGATGCGGCAAAACCGCGATGGTTGTTTGTTTTATGACGTAGAGTGCAGTACGCGTCACATTTCACAAGATAGAGCTCAATGACAATGACAATGACATTGACAAATTATTCTCATGTTACCCACATTGGGGTATTGTCAAGTTAACACTGTAAAGTATACAATTCAATTAATCAATACAAATTAACACTATCGTCAATAGTGAGAAAAATTATGATGATAATGATAATAATAATAATAATAATAACAATATTGATAATAATTATTATAATAATTAAACAACAAAACGATAATAACAATTACAACGATACTTAATGACGAAATTAATGGAAGCAATTGAAAAAGAAAGTTACTGGCACCAGTAAATTGATATTTGAATTAATTAATTACTGAAAATGTTCTTGATATCAATTTAATAATTTGATATAAGACAAAACAGAGGAACATTAGAGTTAATATTGAACTCATAACGTGTTTTTTGCACAGACTTAAATTAATGAAAACGAAGCATTATTTTTCGACAGAGTTTTACAAAGTAAATGTGTACATGACCTTAATTGCTGTGGTTTACCGCGTCACATTTGAACGAATCAATTTAATCATTAAACATACGAGGAAAACCCAACAATTCATTTTGTCTCGTAAGCCTATGTCTCAGATCACATCTAAGATTTAGTATACGTGATCATTGTATTGAATTTATAGCCTTAATGGACCTTTATCTAACTAAATATGAAGTGGATTGACCTGTTTGATGTCAATTTATGTTTACTACTTCACAATACCCTACAATGATGACGTACGTTACACTTTAATAACCATGAAGACTACCTCCGACTTTTCCAAAATTCATCAGATATTTAACAAATTAATCTATTAACCTTATTGTGATAGTTACACTTAAGTACATTTTTCTTCAACCTAGTAATCTTAACACAACTACGAAAAAATCATTTTTTGTTGTTGCTAGCTATGAGGAAGACAAAAGATAAGTCTAGAACGTTACATATACTTTCAGGATTTTCTTGCCCGAACAACAAATATTCTCCGACACAAATATGATTCAGTAATAGGCTACAATTATATTCAATTAATTCATGTATTATGTCTAATTACGCTTTTACTTCTTCTTCAGTAATGTTCATAACAATTATGGCAACAGTTTACAAGGCACACGTTACAATGCCTTTCTATGCAAGAAGCGCATAAAAGACGTTTATATTAAATGAAAGTACAAAAAACTTAAGACACCGTATATAATAGTATTATTACTGATTACAATGCACTGACAAACTAGTTGTATTCATTCAGCATTCAACTCATCAAATTAATTTAAATTTTGTTCTATTATGAAGTTATTAAAACTAATAAAATAAATTTCAGCAAAGGAGAGATATTTCCTTTGATTTCTGCAAAATATGGGTTCCTCCTAAAACCTTTTAACAACCATGTCACCTTAAAAGGAGCAAGCGCCCCGGAAATACATTAATTCAGAATGACTTTACATTTTTAGAAGAATTTATGTTCTACTTCCTTGTTTTCATGTTGCTGTTTTAGACAGGGACATTCTCGTTTACATTATATTTCTGTTAATTTTTTGTTAAAGCAGTGAGTGCTTTTCAATGATTAAAAATCGAATATTTTAATGTTATTGTCTATGTGTAAGACATAAACCTGCTTTCCATTGTAAACGAAACACTGTACCGTGCGTTTATAGACAGTTTTTGACTGTATTGTCTGACGGTGTTAACTTACACCAGCGCCATTTTTTTTATAGCAAAATACAAAGTGCTTCCGCCATCGCTTGCATGGCTTGTATGGAAAGTGCCCAACAGGTATATAGTTGCTCAACTTAATTCTTTGAAATGGGGTGCCAGTGCAGTGGGTAACTATGCAATGGGTAACTATGCACGGCCATGCTGAAGAACAGCCATTGGCGTAAGTATGCCACCGTGCTAAAATATAATAAACAAACAAACAAACAAAGCAATGGCTAGTACGTACATTAAGGGAGATGAAAGAAAGGAGTGGAAACTCTTGTAATTTATTCTAAAGCGTTACAATGGGATGTGTAACATTCCGCTTTGAAGTTCCATGCTCCGAGCCGCGGTTCCACTGCGGGGGAATTTCCGAGGCCAGGCACCAGTTTCACATTACAAAGTATTAAATTACCGGCAAAATTTCAGTTTAAATTATAAATTTTATATGAGAATTGCATTAGGAATAGTGCACCAAAAAAAAAATCGAATTTAGTACTCCGCCATTCCTATAATTTGTGTGCCAGAGTTGGTAAAAGAAAAATAAGATCCTGACAAAGACTCAATAATTTAGGATAAAGTGCTAATTTGTGGATGTTTTAATCTCCCGTTATTTAATCCATGATTTACAATCTTCGATAACTTTAAGTTTGCTAATGTGTGTTTTTGCGTGTTTTTTGTATTTTTGAAGTTGGAAAAAGGGTGAAATTACACCAGTTTGTGTTCGCTTGTTCTACAGATTACACATTCAACAATGAAATTGATGAAAAATCATTGAAAGGGACAGCGAACAGTTGCTGGTATACCATGTTCTGATGTAGGAATTCTATGAAGCGGGTAGTGCCGGCACAGGACATCCTTCTGGTGCTGTTGTCACAGATGGTAGATCCACACATGGAAAATTCGAATTCGCAGGGAGAGAGCGAATGAAGGATGGCAAGAAGAAAACAAAAAGAAGAGAATTAATAAGCTTTATCTTTTTGATGAACCATTAATGATAATATAAGAGTACCTAAGTGTGACGTCATACTGTCCACTGTCTAACCATTACGAGCCAGAGCAAATAATTTCCTGTAGGAAATATATTTATTCAGATGGTCATATCTCAGCCAATATTTAACGTATTCAATTGTTTTTCAACATTTGGACATTATTTTTGATGCTCTTTCGGAAAATGAAGAAAAAATAGATTTTTATGACGTCACAGCTTCGGTATGACAGAGTTTGGCCAAATTGGTTTCACTTGGTCACAAAAATGGCGTAGAATATATGGCTCTGGGTAGCACTATATTATAGCTTAAAGGAAAAGTCGATTATTGTTTAAGACCGCAATTGCCTTCAAAGCTATCGCTCTTATTTTTATTTATGACATTTCTAGTGCACTTTCAGAGCCTAAAATTGCTATGAAGGTAATTTTAGACCCCAAAATATGTGAATGTAGATTTAATACGATTATACCAATTCAACTCTACTTTTTATTTTAATACGGTGACGGTTAATTAATTAATTAATCAATAATAACAATACACGGGCCGGTTGGTTGTGCGTAGCACGAACATGCCAACAAAGAGCCAATATTGGTATTGACGAGTCTGCGTGGGGTCCTTCCGTCCTTCCGTCTTCTGGTTTTGTTTCCTTTCTCCTCTAATTACTTCTACCCTCGTATCTCTCTTTTGTTCTCTTTTGTTGTTCTCCCCGCCGCCGCCCCCCCCCCCCCCATTTTCTTTTCTTTTCATGACCGTCTAGAAAGGAATATTGGTATTGGCTGGAATAAAACATAAGTATAAGGCGCTATCATGTTTTTGTCAATGGCTGGTTCAAAGTTACCGAATATTGGGGCACCACAAATATTAGAAAGGGTTAGGCCTATATTTATGGATATTTCAGCCGTCTCTGAACGGATTTTGATTTTAAAAAAAGATGGTTTTGATATTTTAATTGTGTATTCTTTCAAATTTGATAATCAGTTTTCATTATCTCACTTTGTGTAGCGCCCTCTGCAACAACAGAAAAAAGTATCAGCTACTGATGCAAAATTTACGAGCCACTGGCTTTATTGGGCAGGTAGTTACATTTTGCGAATGAGTAAATTCCGACAACAATATAAAACAAATCCAAACAAGTGTAATACCAGAAAAAACACACTTTTTAGAAAACTTCACTTTTTCATGCAAAAATGATTTTGCTCCATGCATCGATCGTAAGACAGATTGCGCGGATAATACAATGTTTCCATATGGACCCATGTATCCCTGCAAGCCCCGATGGCGCGAGCCAAAGGAGCATCCCTTTCTAGACGGTCATGAAAAGAAAAGAAAATGGGGGGGGGGGCGGCGGCGGGAGAACAAAAGAGAACAAAAGAGAGATACGAGGGTAGAAGTAATTAGAGGAGAAAGGAAACAAAACCAGAAGACGGAAGGACCCCACGCAGACTTTTGTTTGCCAAACAATTCGCCATGAAACAAGAGTATATTAAATACAGCAAGCAAACTGGTTTATAACGTTTTTAAACTTACACCCCCCCCCCCCCGAAAATGTCTTCTCCAAGTGCCTTACCACATGTATACGTGACTTCCAAATAGTTCTGAGGGTTCGATGCACATGCCATGCCGTTGTAATTATCCCGCGCGTGAGCAAAGCATCTTTTCCTGTTGCGGCACCTTTGGTTTTGCAGGATACCCGTCACATCTTCGAAACACGTGCTGGCTGGGTTGGCTTGGCTGCTTTCACATATGCTGTTGTCATTCCGACCGTAGAAAGCGCTGCATATGACGACATAGTTCGGGCGACAATCGATCGTACGATATGTCCCATGACATACTGGAGGCAAAATCGCTGTGCAGATGATATGAACGACAAAACAGAGGGTGGTGAAAATAATGAATTTGGACTTTATCATAGAAATTACAGAAATAGCAGGATTAAGAAATGAAAGCTGAGAGGTGGTATACAGGGGCTTTGAGTTTGAGAGAGGGAGATGGGGGTGGGGTTAAAACATTCTAAAATAGGTAAGAGAATTGGAATTCAATTTATAATGATAATTTGTTTACCCAGGGAAGCCTAATCGGCATTAATGCAAGGGCCTTGCAAGTACCTATTTACACCTGGGTGGAGAATGCCAAATGAGTATTAATGTCTTCCTAAGCTAGGTGCGTTAGTACAAGGGTGTGATTCCAACCCCAAACCCTTGGACATGTTGGATTGAGGGTCAAGTGAATCGACCACTATATCACGACACTTAAATTAATTGATAGGAACACAAACACTCACAGGGTCGTGAGTTAATGTATGATTAACAAAAGAACAATTTCCTTAAATTTTTCAGTAGTGGGAGGAAAAGCAAGATAAAACCAGATTGCACCTTCAAAAATCATAACTTTCTCATTATTTTGTAATCGGTTTTTGTTCAAACTTTCCCTGCTTCACTGAGCAAAACCTCTGATTTAAGGGGGACGTTTGGTCCTATCTACTTCTTTTCTCATCGATTTTCCATGAATTGTCTCTTTCGGTCTTTCATTATCTCTCTATTTATTTTCTGTCTATTTATCATTTCCCTTTTAACATGAAAGAACGACTTTGAAGGAAATCGAAAGGGAGGTTTCAGAAACGTATTTCACAACCTATGTAAATCACGTTCAGATTACGAAATACGTTATTGTCATGTTCTCATGTTTTATTAGAGGATTGACAGTGCTATTGACATTGCCCCAGGTCGACTTTGCGGCAGTGTTTGCAATTATTGCAGATTCACTCCCTTTTTGTGTAATTCGATGTGTAAAGGGGGCTGGTGCTCTCCTCCCCCTGAGCGGTATGCCTCCTTTATCTACAACACTGACAGCTACAACCCCAGTAATATCGACAATTTCTGTAGGTAAACATAGGTCTACATACTTGCTGGTGGTACCGTCGGCTGCATTGCTGTTGTCGTCGGCTGCATTGTCGTTGTCGTCGGCTGCATTGTTGTTGGCTGCATTGTCGTTGTCGTCGGCTGCATTGTCGTTGTTGGTTCTTCTATTTAAATCGAAATGGTGCAAAATCATAATAATACAAGAAAATAAGTAAAATCAATTTCATTTCAGGATGTGCATCATAATCAAAATAACCGCCCAAAAGGATTATTCAATCAATTTATTAGTTCTTAGCACTTGTATTACTTTTTTTTTATTTTTTTTTTTAAATTGATTCCAAACAATACAAATCAGTCTTAGAAATAAAATACAGTTGTTTTTCATCTTGACATAAATTCTAAACATATTCATTACACAAATTGTACGATTGATGACAAAAGAAAATGAAATCACCATGCAACACACACCACCCGACCACACTTCCACACATATACCACACACTGTTCCTAGCCTCCTCCGTGTAAGAATGGTGGTGATGCAGATTTTTCTTCTGCCCCCCCCCCCCCCCCCCTTTTAAACGTTTTTGCTCATTACGCCACTGCCTCTGGAAGGTTTACCCCTCCCCCCCCCCCTCCCAATCCCAAACTGCTTCTGGCGCGCCTGCTGTCGAACCCCCAAATCGAATTTTATTCTAGAGCATTGTTTCTCATATCCTTTGAAAGGTATAAGAGCCGTCAAGAATATCATTTCACATTTTCGAAATCAATACTCAAAACCAAAAAGGTAAAGAGTATATATTGATTCCTTTTTTAAAACAAATCCACCTAGCTCTATTTCTCTTACAAAAAAATCATGATCTCGGAATGGTAAATCGATCACATCCGTTCCATAGGATGACATTTTTGTCAGGTATCACTTCAGCTACGCAGATCACCATGGCAGACAACAACAATAGGTTAGACGGGTAGGGCTTCGACGCGACACATAGTTGCCCTTCTTCGTGCCATTTCCCTTCAAAACTATAGGATTTAAAAATCTCGGAAACGATTTTGACGTTTACAATGCCAATTCCCTTTAGTATATCTTTGTGCAGACATCGAAGAGTAAAAAACACTGTTTTAACTCACCTGGACAGTCGAAGTTATTGCATTCTCGGTTCTCTACAGCAACTCCCTCGCATGCTTTGGAAGAGCACGTTCGAGATCGAGACTGCTGTCCAGCTCCACAAGTCTTGGAACACGATGACCACTCTGACCACGCCGACCACGCTAGATGGGAGAAATGACAATAGAACAGAAAATCAGAAGGAAACGTCTAAAGCAAAAGAAAAGTAGTTAAAAAGAATACAAACACAGAATTCATTAGAAGGCAATGGCAGTGAAAAACATGGCAATGTCTCAAATACAAAATCAAATGATACATCATCACAAAAGAAACTGACGGATCACAAAGTGATACACGTATATTTGACGGAAACTATATACCAATAGGTTCGTATTCTAATGATTTAGTTATACTCGACCCTGGTTCTAAAATCATGTTTAACAAAAGGAAAATTTAGTCCTCAGAATAACTTAGAAATCCTGCTTCATCCTATGAATATTATTATACGCCCTAACATATCCGAATACAATAGTCATGCGGCGGCTGGTGTCATCTGAGTTGTCGTCGGTGTTGTTGGTATTTCTAATTTATAAGCAAAGTACAATTAAAAAAGACTGTTCAATTTTCTCTACAAAATCTCCGGCTCAATGTATAAACGTATACATGGAATAAACGGGGTGCTCCGCCATTCAAAACCGACGCATGGATATACACATTTTTAGCATTACAGAAAGCTAACACGGGCCGGGTGAATTGTAGGTTTAGTCTGATTACTATGATATTTGAATCTTAAAGGGATAGTTGAGTTCTGTTGCAGAGGGCGCTACACATTTTTTTTTTTGGGGGGGGGGGGGTGAGATAATGAAAAACTGAGTGTCAAATTTGAAAGAACATACAATTTAAATGACAAAATCATCTTTGTTTGATCAAAATCGGTTCAGAGACGGCTGAAATATCCATAAATATAACGATTTTTAATATTTGTGTACCACCACAAATATTCGATAATTTGAAAAAGCCGTTGAAAAAACGAAATAGCGCCTTTTACGTTGTATTTCAGCCAAAGCCGATGCTGGATTTTTGTTAGTAATATTTTTTTATTTTTTTGATAAGTTTTATTTGCAATTCACATTATCACAAAAGATAATCTCAAAATAAATACATATCTTTTTTTTCAATGATACAGAGACATGATTGAATGAAATGGAACAACTCATAAAATAACATTCAGTAAGATTTCAATTACTATACAGATACTATTTTTTTCTTTTTTCTAATGGAATTCAAAACAGTTGAGTTTAAAGGATATAGGAATGATTTAAATAAAGGAACGATGTCTTGACATTTACATGAAAAGATGAAATATTTGCCATATAATATCATAGTTTTTACCAGATAAAAGTGTTCTCTAACTAATGTTCCAAAGCAAATTTCTATACGTGATAATCTAATGAGTCGGATCTTTTTAGAAATCAGCCAACTGTACAGATCATTCTAGAATCTTGAGACAAAAAGGCAATACAAAAATAAATGAATTATTGTTTGTTCATTTTTATTACAAAATTTACATATATTTTGATCAAAATTTCCGATTTTATACAAGAAGGAATTCGTAGCAATTTTCATAATAATAAATGAATAAATTTGAATTGAAAATTTCTCAATTTGTTATCTATTGATGATTTATATATTCAATTAAAACAAGACCTCCATATTTCGTCATCTGATAATTGTAGTGACAGATCATTTTCCCATTTGAGTTGTTGATCTGTTTCTGACAAAGCAATAGTATAACTACGTATAAAAGTAGAGTAACATAATTTAGAAACTTGTTTGTGTTTAAGGAAATTGTGTAATCGATCATCATGTGGTTCATTTAATTCATTTTTTTTCTATAGTTTGGTTCCTTATTTCCCTTTTCCATTCATTTGGGATAGTAGATATAAGCGAATTGTATACCACAATAGGTACATAACCATATTTCTGAATAATAACTTAAAAGGTTTTAAAATGTCCGTCTCGTGTAAAAATATCAGAAATGTTAATTAAGGATGAATCAAACCATTTTTTTAACATATATTGGTTTTCCATCAACTAAAATGTGAGAATTAAACCACAGAGGTTGGGATAGTATTTCCTTAAACTTAACAGGGTTGTAGTATTTGTAATATGACCATGAAATTAAAACATCCCACAAATTCAAAATACGCCGTGCGGCTACCCTAACGTAATGTGACCGCTTGCGTATATGACCGTGGGATTGCTGCGGCAGTCCTACAATTGCTATTGGCCGTAGATATTTTAGACCGCACGGCCACCGCGGCAAATGTGACCTAGGCTTCAGTAATCTTTCTTTTTTGAGTGTGTGTGTGTAGTCCTGAAAAGACTGTTCGTAATATTTATTGAGCTTATATTTCTAAAGAGAACTATAGCGCCGATTGAAATACTGACAGTCCTTTTCAGCACTCACCAATCCTCCCCTCTCTCACATGTTCCAACCGTAAGCTTCCTGTTTAACATCAATACTGATAATAATAATGATGATGATTATGATGATAATGATGATAATGGTAAACAAAATATATAATTATAACAAATGATAATAATAATAATAAAGTATTGACAATAATCATTATCTGGGCCCGGCACTTACGTCCTTTGGCAAGACATTAATCCACGTTTGCCACTCTCCACCCAGGTGTAAATGAGTAGGCCTAACTGGCAATCGCTGGGTTATGATAATTGCAGGGCCCTTAGGAAGAAAGGCCTTGAAGCTGGTGAGGCTTCCCTAGCTAAACAAAATTATCGTGATTATTATTATCATTATTTGTATTGTTTTACATACCCGGCGTGCAAGTAGGTGGACCAGGGGACCAACTTGCAGTAATTGCTGTATTGTTCTGTTCACAGACGACCATCAGGTCCAGAGGATCGGCTGTATAGCCCGCCATGCAGGTGTACGTATATTCTTCTCCAGGAGACCCTTCATCTATCAATACATTCTCCGTATTGGTACCGTCAAGCGGTGCACCGCACTTTACCCCTGTTTAACGTGAAATATGAGAAGTGGATGCATAATTAACTACTACTTTGGCGATGGGACAAACTATGATCGTAGAGGAGATCTCAGGGCTACTATCTTCCCGAGCTGAAGGCGAGGTAAGATGGTAGGCCTATAGCCGACCCCATGAGATCACCTAGGCGATGATAATTTGCCCATTCGCCAGATCAAAAGGAAATGGTTATTGGACATCCCATTATGACAATACTATTATAGTATTGTCATAATGGGATGTACCTTTAGTAGAGGATATGTATTGATCTTAATTCTAATTCATGTTCGCGCCACTATAGTGCACTGGACTGTATATGCACTGCATGCTACTTTTGCAAATGAGAAGGTCTTCTTACTCATTGTTGCAAATACGAGCTTGACAATGTCCTACGTCACATTAACCTACGAGTATTTAACATCGACCATTTCGCAACACTATTGGCGCATTAGCTCTTAAAGGGACTTGGTAACATTGTTCATATGAGAGAAAATGGTGCTAAGGTAATGACTTCCATGGTAAATATACAATCTGAAGATGATAATCTGAAGGCTTGAGTGAAAACTGACCATTATTAATGATACAAGTTTTAGGTGAACGAAAATCTTCCCGAAGCAATGAATTGGGTCTATATGCCATTCCAGACATTTAAGTGTTGAAAGATTTTTAAAAGCCTGTTTTATGTCTTATTTTTTATGGAAAAACGGTTGGGAAAATTCAAAAATTGTTGGGAGAATTTACTGTTAGAGGGTGTTGCACAGTGACGCCTAAAAAGAAAAACATAGATATCTTTGTGGTTTGAGAATTTTTTTCAGGATTTTTTGCATGTTAGATGATAAGTACAGTAGAAGGAATATAATAAGTAACATTTCATACAAAAAATTACGTATTTTTTTCATCAACCTTCAACAATGTTACCGAGTCACTTTAAGGGTTGTTAAGATATGACGTGTATTTGAATGGTAAGAAAGGTCCATCGCGTATTGTCTTAGCTCTGTGTTAAATGATAGAGAAAATGTTAAGCGTATTTCACTTTACGTCAAAAAAAACCAAAAAAAATGCGATCGCCAAGATTATACACCCTACATAATATGTAATGTGACTTCATTTAGACCAATCTTAATAATTTTCATTACTCTACCTCAAAAAAATCCCAAATAAAATTCCTAGAAATCACCTGTATAACCCATAACAAGTATATTCGGATTACATATTTGTGACACGTCCACAGCCACGGTCCCAAGCGGTCTCTGTCATGATGCAACACCCTATACATTGTATGCAGGTCAATAGACTTGTACTTCTCTGACATTACTATTTTAATGACAATGACAGCTCCCATGGGAGAATGGCTAACAAGAATCAGATTATCAGCTTATGTTTGTAGTTTCATTTAATTTAAATGGTTGATTTTTATTTTTGTGATTGTGCTCTTACCGTTTAGTCTTCTCAAAAGATATTAATCATAATTTCTGCTGATTAGCTAATGATCGTCGCGGAAAGAGTCATCTCATCGATAGAACATCCCCGGTAAGTCAATACTCAATCCATTATGATCATGTGATATTATAATAGCCACATCAGTATAATTGTGGCGTTACGTGACCTAGCTTTGTTTGGAAATTACATAACATTACGTGGCAGATACACGCAAGTTTTACGATGGCCTCGAATAGTCGGGCGCATCATTATACACCGCCAACCGAACTCCTGTCCAAGCCGATTCATGGCCATTCGTCCAACTGAAAATTCATGTTTGGTGTGATGTCGGTCTAGCGTCGGTCTCGTCGGTGTGACTGAGGTATTGCGGTAGCTACATGACTCGTAAGGGTGTTTGCTGCGCCGTACTTTCTTACAAAAATGAAATAGAGCCTATAGGCACCCCCAGAGGGGTCACTCCCAACATGACTGGCTACGCACCCGCGTCCAGAAAAGGCGTCGAAAGGGTGTCTTTTTCAGCTATACGGCGGCGTCGACGTTTTCCTTATAAAGGGGTGTTTTTCAAGCACTGATCGCACAAAAAACAAAAAAGGGTACCTTTTCAGATTCACAGGCATGGCGTCGTCTACGTTTTCCTTAAAAAGGGGTGTTTTTCGGGTACTGATCGCACAAAAAAAAACCAAAGGGTACCTTTTCAGGATCACAGGTTTCGACGTTTTCTTAAAAGGGGTATTTCAGAAAAGGTGCGATACGCCATTAGGGTCCATTTCAGATGTTGATGGACACGGGTGGGTAGCATTTGTGTATGAGAGTGAGTGACCCCCTGGGTAGCCAGGTAGGCACCCTCACTATGAATATGACGGACAAAGAAAGAGGACAAAATATACAGTTCCTCAGGTAGATAAAGGAACATCCCTTCACTGCTATTATGTAAAGATGAGTAAAACAGGTGAATATGCATGTGACACCTGTTCTACACATCTGTACATAATAGCAGTGAAGGGACGTTCCTTTGTCTACCTGAGGAGCTGTTATTTTTCCTCTTTCTTTGTCCATCATATTCATAGTGCCTGACACTTGCGCAATTTTTGTTCGCGCATGGTTTGCGCATAATCTGCGCATTGTTTCGTGCCACGTTCTTGCCACACCAGGAAGCGTTCGCGGAACATGCGGGAGGATGAAGGCCAATGCTAGTCTGCAAGCACATACCTACTTGACACTTTATCAAAAAGTCATTGTGCCTTGAGAGAAGCCTAGCCCAGCTACCTACTGGTTGTGTCTTCGGTTAAAGTATCACTGTATATAGTTTAGGAAAGGGTTATTCGAACAACTCACCATAGAGAGCTTGGATTCCGGCTATGTCATCATGTTGGGACCCTAAAATTATAATACTAGAATCGTAGAATGAATACATCAGGGAACTGATATCTTGAGAATGGCTCAAACCTAGACTGTGGCCAAGTTCATGCAAGATCAAAAAAAACAAATCGAAGTGGGTAGAATCATCTGTTAAAGAAGAAGATGAAAAAGAATTTGTGAACTTTCTCATTCTTTGTAAGTCACATCGTAAGAATAAAAGCAGAACAAAATGACTCCTGAAAAAGACATGCTCGTCCTATGCCCTAAAGTGCGAAATATGACTAGAAATAAACTTTTAATTTTGCGCCAAATATTCTCATGCCACATGTTTTATATACATGTCGTCCCATTTGCGCATTTCCTGTGTGCAGGGAAAGTAAAAGTTGGGTCAATATCTTTTCGGTTTAATCTAGAAACTCAACTCTTATTCACTACAAAACCAGCCTTTCCTAACTGCAGACAGTTTCTATCTCCGACATACACTTCGATACTATTACATTGTGTGTTTCACAAATGTCTTATGTTATGTGGTTTGGAAATGTTTACTTATTTCAATATCTTAATATATCAATGATATTATGTGCAGCAGATTGGCCTAGGCCTATTCAGGACTCTCCTTCCTGGGATGACTGGTGTGACCAGCTCTCAAAAATTATCTGCTGATACCTTAAATGACTCTCTATCTTAAAAATTACTACTTTATCTTAAAATACGTAAAAGGTGTGGGAGCCAGAGGGAAATGATCAGGGAAGTATCCCCCTTCTTTTTTGTGTGTGTGTGTGGGGGGGGGGGGGGGTCCAACGTAAGAATTGCGAGGAAAGGGCTCGGAAATATGATGATATTTTGCTTTCGCTTTTTACACCGACTTTAACATTCCCATACTATATGAATAGTAAGATTTTCTAGATATTTTATTACAAAAATCATTAGACACAGTGGCCCGAATTCACAAAGGAGGTTTGTCAACAAACCTAGGTTTGTCGACAAAGTTTTTACACAAGCACTTCATTTTCCATCATTGAATAGTGTTACATGTTTACAAGACAAACTAACCCCAAGTTATTGCGTCGTTTAAGTGAACATCGCCTGCGATGGGATTTGTAAGGTCGACAGGCAAGAATGCATGCGCTTGATCAGTCACATCGAAAGGGTAGCCATCTCCATGGTCACCAGAGACAAAGCTAATGATAATGTCTGCACTAGTCGGGTCTGCCGCCATTTCAAAGGTAAGGGCCGAGTATTCGCTCCAAAGCTGTATTAAAAAATTAAAACAAAATTAAAAGAAAAAAAATAGTTTAGAAACCATGTTATAATGAGAAATGACATTGAAATCTGTGATTTACACCCCTCCCCCGCAATAATTGTATTAATTAGTTTATTTATTTATGATATTTAGACAGGGTGACTCATTATCACCAATAATGGTGGTCTTCCATGAGGCCCTGTTAAACATAATGAGGTACAGTAGTTTAACAAATATATATATAATAATAATAATAATAATAATAACAAAACCTTTAACATAAATCCATAATTGACAGCAATAAAGAATAAGTAAGAACATGTATAAACATATATACAAAGGATTTTATATCCTCGTAATAAAATAATGGTTTGTTTGTTTTGTTTTGCTTTGCTTTTTCGTTCAAGAAAACGTTGTTGTATAATTATAATATTTTAATTTAACATTTTAGCATAGATTATAGACGGTAATTAGTTTTTAAATCCGATGAAATATAACTATTAGCATATTTCGGTATGTATTAGACCTTGAAATGGGAATAATCCATTCCCTTTTGAATAACCTGGATCAAACCATCCATAATACCCCAGATACGTACACCGCCAAACCGACTTCAAACTGAATCCACACCAATCGATTCTTGGTAATTCGGGCTAATTCTAGGTCCCCGTCTTATAGAGACGATTAAACAAAATAAATGCACGGACTATAATTCCGTGAACAGAATGAAAATGAGTACGCGTACGAAATTTTATTCCGTCCACAAAAAAAAAAAATTGTATTACAGAATAAATTCAGCACAAAGTCATTTTGTAACAAAATAAATTGTATAACATAATTTTGTTACAAAAGACAGTTTTTAGTGAATTCTGTGACAAAATGATGTGATTTTATACCGAAAAACTTGGGTAACACTTGGCGCCCCATATGGTTCCTCCCGCACCTGTTTTCCTGTACCAGATGATAACAGCAGTTATCACCGGCGTCGGGCACCGTCAAAAGTTTGTGTTCGTCAAAACGTACAATTTTAGCGGTGCCCGACGCCGGTGATAAGGCAATTACAATACGCAAGATTCAGATCTAATTTTGAATTTAATTGACTAAATCAAGTTCGAATGTAAAAAGGTGTTTTTTCCCCCTACCGATGCTAGAAGGTTTATCCTTTGCCCCCCCCCCCCCCCCCCCCCCCCCACTCCGTGAACGGAGGGATACCATGCGTGTTACCAAAATGTCCGGTAAAGGGGTACTTTTCGTGCGACAAAGTCCGGCCCGAGAATTGTAAGAAAAGGGGGTGTATTTGACTTTCACCCGGAGATTTCT